ATGATGTTCCTATGAGGTGGTTCTTTATTGTATTCAAGTCTAAACTTTCTTTGTACAGCAATAGAAGATATAAAATCAGCCAACCAAAGGACACAGTTTACTTTTTCCTCAGTTGAAGCCATTGATCAAATTGATTCTGGAAAAAAGAAAATATTTTTTTACTTATCTAAAAATTGTTGCAAATTTTGAGGGAAAGAATTATTCAATAACTATACTTAAAACTAGGTACATTAAACTTTATAATATTTTTATAGATTATTTCTATCGCAAATACAAATAAAGTTATAAATATTTTAAAGTGCACACGAACTTTATGGACACCCTATATATAAGGGTGTTTCATTAAGACGGATCAAATTCAGCAGTAAATAAATCAGTGTTATCGGTAAAAATTTATTTATTTCTCCATTGGATCATGTTATTATGTGTGAAAAATAATATCTCCAAAATGGCTGTCAAATCCGAAAGAAAAAGAAAAAAAAATCATTAATCGCTTAAGCTTAATTCACATTAAAATCGGTCGAAGTTATTAGAACAACCTTTACTTTGATTTGCTCACTGGTAAGGCTTGCCAGTGTGTTTATGCAGTGTTATAATTTTCATATGATTTCTTGGAGTAATGTCCATCGCACACAATGGCCGTAGGACAACTAATCGAGAGTCGAGACAATAGGGTATGGGCGTGATGATGCAATCACGGATGATGAAATATTTTTCAAGGCCAAACCAATTTCATCATACACTCCGAAAATAGATCCATATTACTGCACACCACTGCAAATAACCTAATCTGAGGAAAAAATAGAAATCGATTACACCTTTTCATTCCAGTGGGTCTAAAACTGACCGAATGGTGAAAGAAAGGAAACTACTAAACTCAGTATTAAACTACTTAGTAGTTTCAATTAATTTGCAAATAAACATGAATGAGCATAAAAAACGGTTAATTTTCAAAGATCGGAAACTGCTCTCTGCTTATCTCTTTTTCCTTTTATAGGAATTCTGTACAATCTTTTGTGAAAGTGTGTTACTGTCAAGCAAGCAGAGATCAGAAGATAGAAATAAAATACAAAAAGACATTATATCTCTGTGTTCACAAGTAAATACTTCATATTTTATGCCTGACTTAATACAGCAAATGCACTTTAGGTCTATGTGATATAAATGGTTACCGTCCTCATGACTGACAACGTGTACGTTAGCTAATGTAGATGTTTTGCAAGATCAGAACCTATAAATAAACTGCTTCACTCACGTTAATCATTTACTTTTTTTCTATATTAACGTTGCCAAGAACCCGATGATTGACGGCAGAACAAACTGTGAGCATTGACGAATCTCTGCTTTTCTTTTAACCAAATCTTTATATATATTCAAATGTTTTCAATCGCGCATATGCGTGTATCCGTGTAGTCCAGTGGTTCCCAAACCTTTTTCTAGCTGCCACTCCTTGACACCTCTCCGACATTTATATGAAGACACTTCTTTTAAAACAACAACCAATCTAACACTGTAAGCATGTATATGCATTTCGACTTTTTATCAGATGCCATTACATAAAACGTCATACGAACAGCTGCGGCCATATTGCTACACCTACAAACCTAGATAACTAACCTTGGCAGACGATAGCCGTCCGATTTGACTGGTGTGTCTTGTCCAAGTAACATCAGCAAAATACAAAAGTTCGGACAGCCAAATATAATAAATTAATTCTATTTTTGTAAAGAATAAATGTGGCTGAAGTGACTTAGATTTCGTCATATAGATTTAAAAAAAAAATACTTGATTTTAATGTCAGAAACCCTTTTTTTTTCTACCCCCCTACTTTTTTTGATATCTCTCACTGGATCTTTTCACCGACCCCAAAGGATCGGTAAAGCCCTTTCTTTGGTAATCCCAGGTGTTGACGATTCGCGGTTTGCGTCCCCATTCAAAAGAGTCCTTCTGCACAAAATAAAGATAACTTGCCTTATCTTATGCATTTAGAATAAAACTCAGCCAACAGATCTTTCCAGAAGAGACTAAAATTGAAACAAAAGGCCTATTTCTCTAACGGTCAGGCGCCCAAAATGTTTCAATAGTTGCAGCTTATAAAAAGGCCCTATGCAGTATCTGTCTATATTTCTGAGATGAGGTATTATGTAGAGTATTTATATTATTCGGACTATTGTCCTCATCTTTGTCGCCATATTTATTACAACGTTTCGGCCTTTCAGTATCTGTCTATATTTCTGAGATGAGGTATTATGTAGAGTATTTATATTATTCGGACTATTGTCCTCATCTTTGTCGCCATATTTATTACAACGTTTCGGCCTTTCAGTATCTGTCTATATTTCTGAGATGAGGTATTATGTACACTATTTAC